CAAGAAATCACCCCCTAGGGGGGATGGCCACGCTGCAATCCCTTCTCCTCCATTCTCCTCTCGGGATCTTGGGCATGCATGCACACGCACCCAGCATGAGTTTTAAGTCACCAGGTCTGGGACACGAACCGTGGTCAACTACGTGGGAGTCCAGCCACATAGCCATTACGCTAACTGCTGGTTCCCAACATCAATGAATTATCAACCTTGTTCTCTTATCCACTGTATCATCCTGTAATCATACCATACTTTTTTTTCTCTCGAAAACTACTTTGTTGGGAGGGACCAGATGGTGGTGCAGTGATAAAACTTGATGCTCTGTGAGACTGGCTCAAATGGCAAAGTTCTGAGTTTATGTCGGGAGGTCATGGGTACACTAGGCCCACACATGCCCATGATCTGGGACTGGCTGAGGCTGGGGATGGATGGCGGCTTAGGACCCCAGTAGAGAGGCTGTCTCTCTCTGTCTCTCTCTCCATCCCCCTCACCCAGAAGAAATAAATAAATAAGCATAAAAAATCTTTAAAAAAAAATAAGTAAAACTATTTTTTCAAAGAATTATTTAAGTCTATTTATTGTTATTGTTATTATTAATTCTCATTGAGAGACAAAGAGAGCAAGAAGGAAAGTGAGAAAGCAAGCCACCAGGTCCAGAACTCAGATGGAGGTGGGCCATGGGGGAGCCCAGCACCCTAACCACCACACGACCTGCCGGCCCCTAAAACTACTATTGTTTCATACAAGGGAGTCTTTACAAATACCTAGACTTCAGAATTTGATGCTAAATCATAAGAAAAGTAACATTTGCCCTTAAAAACATTTTAACCCTAACTAGCTCTTTTACGTGGTCATTTGCTGCTGTGGTAGATATTTAGACTGGTTATCTCCATTTTCCTGGAACGTATATGTATTTCTAAGATTTTGAAGCTATGCCAAAAGAGCAGCCTTGGAAATTCTCTCTTTCTTCTTCATGCATAAAGGTATCATAAAAGCGAGCATCTGAGGAATTCCTGAGAGAGGTTGAGACTCTGCCGTATTTAAAAACCTGCTTTCAGCCTAGCATGTGACCTCCAACTGGGGGAGGAGGAACTCACTGAGGGAGGTGCTGGGAGCTGCCCTCCTGATGAGACTGGGTCCTCAGCCTTCACTGCCCACCCTTCCACCAGGGAATCACAGGCCTACATTCGGGAGCAAGCCTGGTAAGGCCTATGCCATCTCAGATGGGTGGCCTGGGAAGAAATTGTCACTTACCTTGTCTGCCCTGTCTCTCTCAACTCCGTATTTGCCCCCAAAGCCTTTGGCAGCATCGGTCTGAGAAGAGTGTTTCTCCACATCCGCAACATACTCATGGCCCACCGCACTCTGAGAAAAATCAGGACAAAGTGAGTGAAGAGATAAAAATGACCTTGAAAATATAGATACAGAGATGGAATGGGATGTAAGGACACAAGAAATTCCACTGTGAGTCAGACTTGTAGCCTCGGACAGGGGCGCTAAGGAGCACATGATAGGAGGGCAAGGTGACTTTTTCCGGAGCCCTGCACAGCCAGATCCTTTTCTAATGCCATTAGGCGGCCATCATTCAGAAAACCCCCATGGGATGGGCTGGGGCCCAAAGAGAAGAGACCGGGCAGAGCAATGTTTAAACCAGAAACAAAAAGAGCTAAAATAAGGGCTTTGTGCATCAAAACAAGGTGAGAGTCTTATGTGGAAGAGACCAAACGGGCTGACTGGACACCATGGCTGGGACTGAATATTTCACTAAAAAAGCCATGCTGGTCCCAACTCTAAACTTTTTACAATGTAAATATTTTATTAATAATTATTTTAATACATTAGCATATATTAACAATTATATTAATATGCTAACATAAAGATCAATAATTTACAGTAAAATAATACAATAAAAATAATGACATTTGTAACATAGACACAACACATAAAAGCAGTCAATGATTTTCTCTCCTTCATTCTTGCTCCCTGTCTCCTTTGTATAGAAGTTCCAGGGTAACGGCGCCAGCAGGTGGTGTGGAGGTTGAGGTGCTAGACTCCCACATGGTCAAAAAAGGTTCAAGTCCTAGACCTGGTGGCTTGCTTTCTCACTTTCCCTCTCTCTCTCTCTGTCTCTCTCTGGTCAAATTTAAAAATGAAAATAATAAATAAAATAAAATAAAATAAATAATTCTTAAAGAAAAAAGAAGTTACAGGATGACTGGGGCTATGATAGGCCAACATGCTAATATCTGGACTTCCATTTGCTGCCATTTACATCTTATGTGCAGAGATCAGAAAAAATTGGACACAATAATACACAGACATTCTATGAGCCCATATGAATACTGTATTTTCTTTCTATCTTTTTACGTGGTCATTTGCTGCTGTGGTAGATATTTAGACTGGTTATCTCCATTTTCCTGGAACGTATATGTATTTCTAAGATTTTGAAGCTATGCCAAAAGAGCAGCCTTGGAAATTCTCTCTTTCTTCTTCATGCATAAAGGTATCATAAAAGCGAGCATCTGAGGAATTCCTGAGAGAGGTTGAGACTCTGCCGTATTTAAAAACCTGCTTTCAGCCTAGCATGTGACCTCCAACTGGGGGAGGAGGAACTCACTGAGGGAGGTGCTGGGAGCTGCCCTCCTGATGAGACTGGGTCCTCAGCCTTCACTGCCCACCCTTCCACCAGGGAATCACAGGCCTACATTCGGGAGCAAGCCTGGTAAGGCCTATGCCATCTCAGATGGGTGGCCTGGGAAGAAATTGTCACTTACCTTGTCTGCCCTGTCTCTCTCAACTCCGTATTTGCCCCCAAAGCCTTTGGCAGCATCGGTCTGAGAAGAGTGTTTCTCCACATCCGCAACATACTCATGGCCCACCGCACTCTGAGAAAAATCAGGACAAAGTGAGTGAAGAGATAAAAATGACCTTGAAAATATAGATACAGAGATGGAATGGGATGTAAGGACACAAGAAATTCCACTGTGAGTCAGACTTGTAGCCTCGGACAGGGGCGCTAAGGAGCACATGATAGGAGGGCAAGGTGACTTTTTCCGGAGCCCTGCACAGCCAGATCCTTTTCTAATGCCATTAGGCGGCCATCATTCAGAAAACCCCCATGGGATGGGCTGGGGCCCAAAGAGAAGAGACCGGGCAGAGCAATGTTTAAACCAGAAACAAAAAGAGCTAAAATAAGGGCTTTGTGCATCAAAACAAGGTGAGAGTCTTATGTGGAAGAGACCAAACGGGCTGACTGGACACCATGGCTGGGACTGAATATTTCACTAAAAAAGCCATGCTGGTCCCAACTCTAAACTTTTTACAATGTAAATATTTTATTAATAATTATATTAATACATTAGCATATATTAACAATTATATTAATATGCTAACATAAAGATCAATAATTTACAGTAAAATAATACAATAAAAATAATGACATTTGTAACATAGACACAACACATAAAAGCAGTCAATGATTTTCTCTCCTTCATTCTTGCTCCCTGTCTCCTTTGTATAGAAGTTCCAGGGTAACGGCGCCAGCAGGTGGTGTGGAGGTTGAGGTGCTAGACTCCCACATGGTCAAAAAAGGTTCAAGTCCTAGACCTGGTGGCTTGCTTTCTCACTTTCCCTCTCTCTCTCTCTGTCTCTCTCTGGTCAAATTTAAAAATGAAAATAATAAATAAAATAAAATAAAATAAATAATTCTTAAAGAAAAAAGAAGTTACAGGATGACTGGGGCTATGATAGGCCAACATGCTAATATCTGGACTTCCATTTGCTGCCATTTACATCTTATGTGCAGAGATCAGAAAAAATTGGACACAATAATACACAGACATTCTATGAGCCCATATGAATACTGTATTTTCTTTCTATCTTTTTCTTTTTTTGTTTTGTTTGTTTGTTTGTTTGTTTGTGAGGTTTTTGCTAAAGGGCACGTGCGCTCATGTGCTCGCCAGACAGACAGACAGAAAGCGAGAAAGCACCCCTCAGGGAGGATGGTCACACCACAATCCATTCTCCTCCATTCTCCTCTCAGGATCTTGGGCATGCACGCACATGTGCCTGGCATGAGTTTAAGTCACTGAGTCCAGGACTCAAACCACGGTCAACTATGTGGGAGTCCAGCGACATAGCCATTACGCTAACTACTGGTCCCAATACTGTACTTTTCTAACAAGTTTTTAACCATCAAAGCAATAACTGAGTTCTTCTATCTTTTGTTTGCTTTGCTTTGCTTTGTTTTGTTTTTGTTTTTGTTTTTAAACAAATCTATCCCTTTCAACTCACCTTGTCCATTCGGTCTCTTTCTACTCCAAACCGACCTCCATAGCCATGGGATGCTTTGGGCCCTGATTCCATCTCTTTCTTCTTGAGAACATCATGCTCTTCTGACACCTTGCTCCTCAGCTGGTGGATGCTGGAAGTAACCACATACCAAGCATAAAGAAGTCAATGAACCTCCCTTCCCAGAAGAGTGGTGATTTTGAGGTCTGTTCCTTTTTAGCAATAAATTAAGCCCCCAAAATATGGTGAGTCTGAAAGTAAGAGATTGGTGCTCTTTCTCACTATACAAGATGGCAGGCGATAAAGCTGCAAAGCAGGATACTAAGGAGAAGAAACCTGAAGCCAAGAAGGCTGATGCCAGTGGCAAGGTTAAAAAGGCTAAAAAGCCCAAGAAGGGGAAGCCCCATTGCAGCTGAAACTCCGTCCTAGTCTGGAGCATGGGCAGATACTCCCGGTCTTCCATGTATTCCAGGAAGGCCATGTAGAAGAGGAAATACTCAGCACGAAATCCAGGATCAAAGAGAAAAAGAAGGAGAAGGTTCTTGCGACTGTCACAAAACCAGCTGGTGGAGACAAGAATGGTGGTACTCGGGTGGTTAAACTGTGCAAAATGCCTAGGTATGATCCTACTGAAGATGTGCCTCGAAAGCTGTTGATCCACGGCAAAAAACCCTTCAGTCAGCATGTGAGAGAGCTGCAAGCTAGCATCACTCCTGGGACCATTCTGAGCATCCTCACTGGATGCCACAGAGGCAAGAGAGTGGTTTTCCTGAAGCAGCTGAGCAGTGGCTTGCTACTTGTAACTGGACCACTGGTTCTCAATCGAGTTCCACTGCATAGAACACACCAGAAATTTGTCATTGCCACCTCCACAAAAATTGATATTAGCGAAGTAAAAATTCCAAAGCACCTTACCAATGCTTACTTCAAGAAAAAGAAAC